GGAGTTGTTCGTGGAGGAGGGGAACGTCGAATATGGCTGCCATAACTTGGACAAGAGGACTGAATGCTGCAGTGAAGACAGGACCCCTCTTCTTGACACACCATGACATTCCCACAAAGCACATTCCTGAACCTATTAATCCCTGGCTTGGGAAAATTCATTGTTGTCAAGTAGAAACCAAAACAAGATAAATTAATCAGTGGTAAACTAAACTCTTTTTTTAACTTAAGAAGTTTTAAACTAAGATAATAATGAGATAGTTAAGTCTCCATTTTGTGTTTAAAAGTCATCCCACGACGATCTTCATTCTTATACAACATAGAAGGGGCTTCTCTACTTTTTGTCTCGTACGTTCCCTTAACAAACTAAAGGAGAGGACATTTTTTTGGTTCATAGAAAGACTTGGCTTTTCTTTTATCTGCACATAGGAACCAATGAAAGAAATATTAGTATCTGAAGTCCAAGGAACTTTAATTCGATGTTGATTGTCACAACTCACAAGTCATTCAGAATTTCTAACGAATCCGTGAAAAATTTCTTAAACTTCTTAATTTTCAAGGACATACAGTAATGAATAACTCTATCTGTGGTGCATCATATCTTTGTAAATAAATTGGTTGAACTGCAAAGACAGAGAGAAAAAGAAAAAGACAATGAGAGGATAGTCTATTTTCGCTACTTAGGAAGATAAGAACTGGTGTTAAGTGCACTTACAGCATAGAGGATACTCAGCATATCTATATTTTCCTTTGGAACCCAAATGGACAGTCTTCTGTCCATGGAAAAAGTCAAGACAGCCGATTGTATTGCGCTAAAGAAGGTCATGATAACAGTGCTAGAGTACTTGCATGGATATTTCTTTCCAATAAACGTTTGGAGAAGGAACCACGAAGACCACAAAAGTGTCCCTGCAAACAAGGCCAGAGAACCAAGGATCCATCTTTCTTTTATTTTCGAGGAACTAATGTCTCCTTCTGAAGATGAAGACACAGATTGTTGGTCTGAAAAATGAACCAAAGGGATGCCTTTGTAAAAAGTCAGTAAGAAGGCACCTCCAACGCATACTAGTGTACCAAGTGCTTTGGCTATTCCACTTCCATGTTTGATGTTGATAGTCTCTAACCTGCATCATTTTCATACATAATGGAGTTAAATTATCATTTGTAGAATAAGAAAACAGAACAGTTTAAGGCTATTTGTTAGTAAGAATGAGAAAACCATAGCTTTCGTACCCAAAAGGTAATGCCATAAGGAATGTGATCACAGGAACCATGTTGAGAAAGGCACATGAGAAAGTTGCAGATGTGTATTCCATGCCAAGAAGGAATAAGTATTGCGTAACAGATGCCCTACAAAAATGATGTAACGTATGGTGAAAAATCTTTTACAAGAAAACATAGCTATGCAAAGAGCCAATAACTTAGAATATTATAGAGATTATTCCGACTTACCCAACAATGGCACTCAAAAAAAGGTTACACAAGATTTGAGGGGTAAGTTTTGGTCTCGTGTTCCTGCAAGAAGCAATAAGTTGCATGTTAAAGGCGGCAAAAGTTTTCCATATAATAGATATGTAAATGTTTCTTAAGAGACGATATTCATACTTTTCCAGAAAGAAAGCAACTGGGGCTAAAAAAATGGTTGAAATGGCCTGCCGATAAGTTATGAAGACCAAATGGTTCATCCCATCCATTATAATCTTCTTGAGAAGTATGTTACTAATGGAAAAAGCAAAATCGATTGCCAACATAATAAAAATAGGGTAGCATTCCACATAGCTCTTCATCAGAGTATTTCCCTTTCTGTCAACACTTTCAACTTCCTTCTCGTAATCTGCCTCTTAATTGAGTTATCGTCCCGTGCTTTTAAACATGAAGATGAGATAAGACATTTAAAGTTCCACATGAACTTTAGTGGAGTAAAAAAGTGCACACGGCGGAGGGATTAATTCCTGCAATCACATCAATGCTTTTATTCTACCAGAAAAAGTTGACATTTAGTTTAACATTATATACTCTTATCATTTTCCTTTTCTTTGTGTGAAAGATAACACTATTTCCTTCCTTTTGACTAATCCTTTCCATCATAACCAACCAGATTAACAGATTCATTTGTCTATGAATTAATTTATGTAAAGAACATTTAACATGTGAGTCAACCCACTAATCTAGGCAAAATTTCCATTTTGATATATAGAAGATAGTGTAGCAAGCATCTTATGGGTGGGGGTCAAATAGAAATGATTCCCTTTCTTGCAGCATAGTATAACATGTAATACATTTCTTATGTCTTGGTAGCCTCAGCATCTAATGCTGCTTTTAGAACTTGTATTCAAGCATCTTCAGAGTACAAAAAGGGGACACAGAATAATTCATCATATTCATATAATAACATCTTGACTGTTCACTATTTCAAAATTCTTTAGCTAGACCACAGTACACCTGAAGGGACCAGGTATTTTCCTTACCACACGAAACTCACTCGAAATTGACTGAATAAAAGCTCGCATACTTTGAATAACATTGTTAAAGAAATAAGTTAACTTGAGTATTACTCGCGATACCCTATTACAGAGTTGTTAAACCTATTTTAGAAAGCAAATCAAGATCAAGGAGAGTGCGACTCCACAGCATAATTTCCATGTGTTATACATACACCTTGTGACAAAGCAGGGTGTATGATCTGAAAGGACTGGAACTATGTTTAACTTTTCACCTTCATAAGGGTCCATTCATGTGGACCAAGAAAGCATTCCATATAAAATGCTTCAAGGATTTTTCCACATGAAAGAGCTAAAAGGGCGGATCAAATCTCTACTTTAATTCTTGTACAGTTTAAAAGTGTCAAAGAAAGAAATATCCCACTTTGTTTGCAAGCACCAACAGAGGAGAATAGCTACATTGGTTATAAGTCACACCACACCGCTTTTAACCAGTAACATCACATTGATCTTTTCACTGGAAAGTAGGGGTGGGGTGGGCAATAGTCATGCTTTCGTGTCCGTTATCCTAATCCTTATTCTTTTGTTCCATATCTAAGGTATTGAGTTGGAATCCTTCATCTCCTTTAGCAACAGTGAGCCACACAATTATTTCCTAACAACTGTTCATGCATTAAGAGGCATGGAACCAGTAAAAAGAACCCTGCTAAGTGCTAATTGCCTCTATAGGCATACTGATGTTAAATGTGATGAGATTCTCGATTTCCATTTTTGTTCCATATCCCAGATATCAGATTTTCTGGATGCTCATATTCCACATTGTAAGCATAACCTTTTATACAGAAATCAAATTTCATCGCTGCTCTTATTTGAGGCAGGTTCTTTCCTACCCACACAAATACTCTTCTGCAACATGCAACTTATTGTGTAAGCACGAAGCGAATCATCATAACAGAGATTCTTGTTTTTTAGGTCCATCTATTTGGTAAGAGCCATATGGCTACTCTCAAGTCTAACCTTAATTTAGGCCTACAGTCATGGAGTATTAACTCTGTTCATTAGAAACCATAAGTCCATTCTTTTTGCAAACATTACATACATATAGAAGGACCTTCTAAGAATATACAGGTCTTAATGAGTAAGTATTGAAAATCAGATTATCGAGTCTATGGAGAAACTAAAATGTTCCTGCCAATATATAATCCACACATAATTGTGAAATGACTATTCCTTCATAAAAACAAACGTATTTAAGTTCATTTTCCAAGGAAGTACCGCTCTGATCGCCCAACGAGTCATCTACTTTTTCATCCAGAAAAGTAAGTTAATTGATCAAAATCAATATAAGCAAATGATTATAACTATTGCACAAGATATCCACAAGTCTCAGCACTATCAGACAAACCAGCCGAGCAGTGGAAAGAGAAGAAATAACAGCTGTGAGCCAACTATATGATATAATACTATTTGTACAAGTTGATAGACTTTCCCTACCTAAAAGCAAGCACCAAAATATTGCAGCTGCAATGGATCAGATGCCACAGTGGCAGTGGCCTGTCTGTGCGATGTTCGTTATAATTTTTTCCTTCAACTATCATATATTCGTAGCCCAACAGCCTACTAATCCAGATTCACTCTAGGTAGACCCACAAAGAGGAACAGAGTGCTTCCTAACGATCCATGCTCGAACCAACCAAAGACTACTAATTAAGAATGGAGAAATTCCAACTATTGCACCCCACTCTTTGCTGGTAATGTACATTATGATTGCTTCTTGTTGAAACATATTAATGGGTTTACGTGTATATGATCTCGTCAAGATTCACCAAAAGTCAAAAGATATATCAACAAAACATTTTTGGCTTTATTTGAATCAACAGTATAAGCCTAGTGTCCAGCAGTGGAACAGAATAAACTGTTATCTACTGCTACCTATGCCACAGTGAACCCCAATACTTCTTAGTGCTTAATCATTCATTTCTTACCTTTCTATTTTTGTCTGGATTTGAGTAATTTGACCCTTCTGATATTTTCCAACAGAACTAGACTTGAAACCTAAGTTAATGCAGGAATATTGTCTTAAGGTAATTTACATGCTAACTTAACCAAATAATCAGGAGTTCAGGACGTCCAAAATGTTTTAAGTTATCGATCTTTACACTGTTTGAGAAACCCGTAATGGAAAAACTTTTTGTATCTTAACAAAAACTGAAACTCCAACAACATTTAGAAAGAAAGTGCTAGAAAGAAGAGACATTAGGATATCATCAAGAAAATATATTACCTGTTTCGTGGACCAAATCATGTTTTGACAAAAAAATAATTGAAACTCCAACAACATTTAGAAAGAAGAGACATTAGGATATCATCAAGAAAAAATATTACCTGTTTCGTGGACCAAATCATGTTTTGACAAAAAAATAATTGAAACTCCAACAACATTTAGAAAGAAGAGACATTAGGATATCATCAAGAAAAAATATTACCTGTTTCGTGGACCAAATCATGTTTTGACAAAAAAAAAAATTGAAACAAAGGCATTTACAGAGACAGCCAAAAAAAAAACTAGTGCAAACATATTGCACCAGCTTAGGCCTATATGGATTAGCAATTACAGCCCCGAAAGGAAGAGTATGTTTAGCAGTGCTCAAGGAGTCCTGGTAATTCAGTTAACTAGACATGCTAATTCAAATTGGAGATGAACAACAGGGAGAAAATGAGCTTTTTGGGGGGATTTTAATCATAAAATGTGAGCTCTTTTCTTCATTTTATTAGTTTCCATTTACATTTAGTATCATGTGTACCAAAAAGTCATGCAAGCTCAAGGCAAATGAAACTTTAACAATGGCCAGAAGCATATGGATACAATGCTACCCATCACTCATATATTTAGACAGCAAATGCACTGAGTTGGAAGGATTATCAAATGCCATTTCAAAAAAAATGATAAGGAAAATCCTTAGTATTTCTCAGCATTCAGTGTTTCTTCTTCGACTCCCCTAGTCACATCTCTGCCAAATTCAAATTGATAAACATACTCCACACAAATCGATTCATCCTCTTGCACGGACTTGTACATCATTTTCAATAAGAAAAATGGATGAGGTACTCAAGCCCTATCCAAGAAGGCTCTGTAATACATATCTGCTTTCCATGCTTCAATTAGTATGAGTGAAGAAGCTCAGGAAGCCTTTTGATCCAACACTCTCCACACATCTCATGAATTTTTTTACATCTCACATCAGATTATGATTCAACCCCCCTCAGTACTGTTGGGAAATAAAACTATGAAAAAGTGCAAAGGAAACTAACCAGAGTCATCAAAAAACTAATCAGAAAATGAAATCAAAATCACAAGCAAAGGGGCAAGTCAAATATCCAAAGATGAATCCAACATATAGCTAGGAGAACATTGTCTAACACAACTGAAATTTAAATGTTATCCAGAATCCTTCATCATAAAGTAATATCAAAATTCAAATCTATTTTTTCTACTCTTGTCTAGCTTCAACTTTCTTCTTCTGCCAGAGACGGTCCATTGCGCTGTCAGCATCACCCTGCAAAGATGAAACAGTAAGATTTAACTTATTTTTAACATCATGCATAAATGTTGGTTAAATGGCTTGTTGAAATACTGAAAACAAACTTGAATGCAGAAAGGACAGATTAAAACTAGACATCCCAATCTATCTGGATTGCTAGGAAAAGCAAGAACCTAAACTTCCCCAGATACCTAATGATACTTCCATCAAATAGAGGAAACCGCAGTAAGATGTCTTCTTCATTATTTTCATGACATGCAAGAGGTAGAGGTCCTTACTTGAGAAGACTATGACCTGAGCTTTTTTTTACTTTAATTTGGAAACATCAACTTCTAAACAGGTTTATCAAATTTTATGCTGGTGTTAACAACAGTCACTTGATATCATTTCATTTTTGGTAGGTCTCCCACCTCTACTTCTTGGATTATCAAAAATAGAAGTGATGAACAAACCTACATTACAGACTACTCTTGTTTTCTTTGGGCAACTCAAATATTAAATGATGATTTGCCAAGATGGTATCACTAACAGAGGTACATTTTTAAATCAAATCTCAAAAAAGCAGCTACTGCATACATTATCTAAGAAGTTTACCAAAGGAATTACCAATACAATAGAGAACAACCATAAATTAACCGGGAAAGAACTATCCACATCATGGCAAAAGTTAAACAGGTAGTATTATAATTGAAGGAAAAAAGTACCTGAGCACGGATGAAACCACAGAGAGCAAAAGTTGTGAAACTCCCAGTGTAGATACCCCTATCATCCAAATGACCAACATTGAGTTGAACAGAAGCATGGTCCTTTGAAGTGATCAGCCTATTTGTAGCAGAACTGGAATTGTGGGCATATGTTAGCTAAATCACAAGATGCAGTTATACAAACACCAAGTAAAACCAACATGACATCAAAAAACTCAAGAATCAGGCATACCATTTCCTGGGGATGTAAAGATCCATGTTTTGTCCCTCATCGTTCTGCATCTTGGCTGGTGGCTCTTAAGTACCGAAATAAAGCTCTAACAACCTTTTTAACATAACAAAACTAAATCAGCATTAAGAAAGAAATAAAACTGGAACCTTTCTAGATTTGAAACAAAAAAATGGTCACTGTTCTTCATTACACGATTTAACACATTCATCAAAAGTAAAAGCCCTCTCCATCACCAAGAACAACCCTTTTCCCAACAAAGAGAGTTGGGTTTAACAAAAAACCCTAGAACATTCTTCTATATTACATTAACGAGTTTGGCCATGAAAATTTACGGAATACAAACAGCAAACAGGAAGTTTCACTTTTTTCATTCCAAATTACTCATAAAAGTCAAAAAAACAAATCCAAATATCATTATTTCTTTCAAATTTCACAATAAAATATGGCCAAACACCCACATATTTATAGATTAAGAAGCAACAAGTGAGAGAATTCTCCATACACAAAGCAGAAAGCAAACAACCGATAAGCTGCGTACCTGAGTGAGATTAAGGGAGAGGTCTACAATGGAGGTAAAGTGTGAAGAAGCGACGCAAAGCTTCCATTTAAACAGATGAGAAATTTTATCTAGCCCTAGTTGCTCTGAGTATACCTTGTGGGCTTATTTAGTCTGCTAGGCCCAATAACATTTTCAAGTGGTCCAGCCAATTTTTTAGGGTGAAAAAACTAGGTCCAAAACCTAAGTGATGGAAAATAAAAGGGGAAATTATGCGGATAAATAAATATATACTAATTAATTTATCTAACATAACTATAGTTTGCATTATTATCATTAGTACTTACTTTTAGCTATAATTATGTGGCTCACATTTTAGTTTGTTAAGCGAGTAGTTTTCGGTTAAGCAGTCTATATACAAACACTACTTTCTCTTTCTCTCCATAATCCTTTTCCATTATTTTCTGTTTAAATTACTCAACATAAATTGATTTCAAAATTAGAAAATTCATATTTTTTTCCCTCTCAAATCCTGCTTCCAGATTTTTAGGGCAAATCTTATGTTGTTTCAATTACTTTGTTATTTTTTTTTTGTTTTGACAGTTTCATTCTTCTTCTTTTTTATTTGTATTTGTATATGATTGCGATTTCTTGTGGATTTCCAATCTTATCGTTAGATACAATTTGTTTAACTTTTGTATAATATAATTTGTATAACTTTTTAAAGTTTAGATGTTTGTGTTTGTATAAATTCCAACGAATTTTTGAGTTTTATCATATTTGTATATTTTTTGGAATTCGTATTACTCCAAAAAATATATTCAATTTTAGATCTAGAGTTGCACTCATATTTGTATAAATTTGTAATTGTATATCGTTATTCTAATTGTATATTTCTATATTTTATACATATAAAATATATAAGTACAAAAGTCTACCAACAAAACTATACTTATACAAAATATATATGTACAAATCAATTAACGTGATTGTATATTTCTCCCCATGCATATCATAATAAATCCAATACTTAATTCAACAAATTATATACTTATTTGCATATTTTAATACGTATACAAATTTTATAATCTTTTGACTTGTCTACCAACAAAATTATACTTACACAAAATAGTTTACCAACAAAATTATACATTCAGAGATAACTCAGTTATACAAACATACAAATCACTTCTTCATTACTAGATCAAGTCAAACATAATTGAAAACAGTTATTCGACAAAAAAAAAATACAATTATCAATGGATTCATAATCAATTGGAAGTAATTTATACAAAAATAAATACAAATCATTGATACTAATCGGTTTATATATGTAAATACAGACGAAAAAGCCTAATTATACAATTATTGACATCACTTCTTCAATACTCGCTGAATTCATATACAATTTGAAAACAATAATTCGATCAAACCTCCAATTATCAATGTATTCATAATCAATCGATAATAATTATTAAAAAAATACAAATCAAATTGATACTTATTAGCTTATACAAATACAGACGAAGATAGTCAATTATACGTTATTGATATCTCTTCTTCTTCACTCGTTCAATTCAAATACAATTGAAAACAAAACTCATCTAAAAGTAATTCAATTTGATTGATTGAGAACGGGGGGGGGGGGGGGGGACACATC